GGCCTTGGTTTTTAAGGTCTCATCCGAAGGACCAACAACTTTCACTTCAAAGTGCCGAGTGCTTGGGGCAAGCGCTCTACCGACTGAGTTACCGTGACGGTTACCACTGTCTGAAGTCTTCAATGCGTTTTACTCAAATGCCCCTTACCATTCACGGTAGCTCAGTCGGTAGAGCGCTTGCTCCGTGACCGGGAGATCGTGAGTTCGAATCTCGGCTGCGACTGACCTAAGTTGATAAAAAAAAAAAATGGGTAGCAACTGTTCCTTCGCCATGCGCTCGGCACTTTGAAGTGAAATTTGCGGGTCCTTCGGATGAGACCTTAAAACCAAGGCCCGTGTCACGGCAGGCGTTGGCACGATATAGATCCCTCACTGCTCTATAGCCTTGAGTGCCGAGTAAAGGTCTAAATATGATGCCCTTCACCGGTATATGGGACGCCTCTAAATGAGTGAAAAAATCTGAATTTGGACGTAAAACAACATACAATCAATCAATCAAACAGTGGAATGAGCTCAAAGCGTTTGGAATGGACTAGACAAACCAAAGGGTATGTATAAGGCGAGGTTTTGGAGAAGTCAGACATTCATGAGCTAGATGAAGAAGTCGGAGTTGAATCAGCAATAAAGAGGTTTATTCCATCACTAGTAACAACAGATTTAAAGAAATTGAATACGTGACAGATGTATAAGGGTTGAATACTCAGTATAATTAGACACAATTCCCATTTATTACAATTAGCATGATAGGATGGGATGTGTCCTAATTTATGACCATGAATTTTGGTACGATTTATCTCCCTCTGCTTTTTATTAATAAAAAAAGAATCAATTTTGAAAAACTTATCTGGTAAAAAAAATCGTTTTCAATTGCCATTCTATTTCTAATATTTTAATGCATCTTATTATTTGATTTAAAAAAAATTGCTTGTCGCCATTCACTTCAATGCAGTCTTTGTTTATTAATTTCTAGTTAGTAAATTTACTCTAAAATGCTTCAACTTAATATTAGAGTATTATGAACGTGATGGACGTTTGAGGATAGAGAATTTGGTCCTATTAGGGATGGAAAACCTTAGGGGTCAGAGTAAAACAAAAGAATTAACACCAGTGGCAAGTATCCTAAGGAATTGATGTTAACTTCTGAGTGTAGTAAATCTGAAGAAGATTGAGACACCAGGTTCTCATCTATCAATGGGAATCTTAGTTAGAAACACTGTGCAAGTAGTACCTTACCCAGTCCCCGTCTCTAGATAAGAGAAAATTTAAGTACTGTGTGATATACCCTCAGGCAGAGGTGTCTTGATAATTATTCCAATCATTTACTCAGACAGAGTAAAAGAAAAATCTATATATATCCCTTATAAGAACCTGATCATTCACTTTACAGATTGGAAATATCTTTAAAATCTTCCTCTCAAGAACAACTAAGCTATTATTAGTCATACAATTAATTCAGAATCAACCTTAGGTATTGTAAAAGTTTTTTTTAATTATGTCCCCAGGGATTGGGGGGGGGGGGGCACAACAGAGGCCCAAAGTTTTGCATAAGAATATATAGGAATCATCTATAAAAATCGTCTGCTGAAGAGGAGCAAAGCCACGATTAGTCATTATTATAGAAGCATCCTCATGTAATGTAAATTCAAATTGGTTCAAATTTAGGGTGGATAGGGTAGGGCTACAATGAGAGATCAGAGTTTTACATAGGAAAACATAGGGAAAAAACCTTGTAAATTCCTCTGTTTAAGAACAGTAAATCAATGATCAGTAATATTGATATGGAAGCATCCTTAGCTAGTGTAAATTAAAGTTTTACCCCCCCCCCCATTTTTAATACAGAACTGATTTCTGCTTCTTCCTAGCCAATATGCCCATTGGCCTCTTGTTCCAGTTATTGTTCATAGAGTAGCGTAACACATGATTGCTATTCTTTATTGTACCTATACAAATATTTCATCAACTTTGTTTTTTAAATCTTAGCACATCTGGTGATAAATATTTTCTATGCGTTTATGATAGAAATAGCTCTACATTATAGAGGAAATAAATAATGTTTGTATGACAATCTATCTTTTACAGTCATTATAATTATTTCTTTACCGATCTCTTCTGCGAAATGTTATTAGACTAAGCGCTCCAAAAACTGTAATGTTGAATAGCTTGGACGTTTATTACATGCAAGCATACAAATGTATGTATACCTGAAGATGTATATATAAAAATATAGAAAGCGCTAGCGTAATGAAATTTGAACTCTGTATATTTTCTGTTATGATATTATATATATTTTATAAATTAATCTAGGAATTTTTGGTAGTCCCGATCGTCTAGTGTTCAGCAATTAATTTGATTTTTTTTGGTGTTTTAATCTCATTAGAGCTTTGGCCGTTTGTCCTTAATTTGTTGCTTTTTCAGAGCAAATGGCTGGGAGTATGTGAGTATTCTTTACGAAGATTCTAGCTATGGCAGTTATGGCTATAAAGACATCAAAGAATTTGCACGACAAAACAAAATATGCATTGGTTATGAGAAACAAACTTCAGATGAAATGAAAGATAAAGAGGTCACTGAGATTGCAACTGATCTTCAATCTAAAAGAAACTCAAATGGTATAATGATTACATAAATATTTTCTTTTTAAATCAAAGATCTAATTAAAATAAAATTAAATCCAAAAGAAACGTTATAAACAAGACTAGTTTCTTCGATTATTACTTACACCTCGGGATTATACATAAGAAATAAAACCACATAACTGTTTCGGTGATGTTCGAGTATTCAAAAATCACTTTTGTAGTTTTTGCATTGTAGGCACCAGCTTTGAAAGGGATTTTTTAGTATTATTTCAATACAAAATTGTATTTTAGGAAAAATAGTGGTTATTATGTTTATGCTGTATCAGAATGCATACAGAATTATCCGCCGAATTCATGACATGCGCATTGAAGGCTTTATCTGGATCGGAAGTGACGGATTAACAGGGCGAGATCCTCCAGATGGATTAGAAAATATCATAGACGGAGCAATCGGATTAACCCTCGAAACTTCTGAATATCCAGGATATCTCCAATACGTCAATAAGTGAGTAAAATACTTGGTAATATACAGACTGACTATCATAAAAAGCAACTTCAATTAGTTTTAAAAAAAATTGATTGATTGATTAGGGTTTAACGCCGAGTCGGCAGTTTTAAAAAGATGCTTTGGGTAATGCGACATATCAAAGCATTAGTTACCATAAATAGTTGATTATTTTGGGGATAAGGGTTACTTTGGAGATAAAAGTGTGTCTAAAGACGTCAGATCCCGTGCTTGGAGTTGCTGGTGCGGCAGTTGAGTGAAAATAAGGAGGCAAAGAACATTTTTACGCAGACAACACCGGGCTGTTGATTACTGTTCTGATTCTCATAGTATGTCCCAAAAAGTTTCTCTAGTTAGTGATTCAGGTGTTGAATCGGTCGAATGTGGTATTTTTGTCGTATTATAGTGAACCTTAAAATACCTCACTTACGATGATCAGATAAGCTATCCGAGGCTTAAAAATCGTTGCATAAGGCACACAATAATGCTTCGGTTCCAATCTAAGGTATCTGCAACAACTCGCAAGGGTTGAACTGATCTTAACATGCCGAGATCTTAGTTGCGATGGTCAGTGGAGAGGGAGGTTTAAATTTAAGTCCTGTTAAACATTCAACAGCATATGGCAATGATGTTTTTTTTATTTTCCTTTGAAATGTTTACCTGATTCTTCCTATAAGTCTGTCGAAGTTTTAATTTAGAAAATTTGAATCCATGATCATATTGTCGATATAATATTTAAATGTTCTATATGATTTTGTAATTACAGCCAGAATATAGAAACAACTCAGAATCCGTGGTATTTAGAGTTCCTTCATCAATATTATCCAAACTGCACAGCTGGAAACTGTGGGCGGATAACTAACAATGGTAAATAGTGCTGTTTGGGGAAGATACACCAAATCAGAAAAATAATAGATTCCCCTTTCTAAATTAAAAGTATAAAATCATCAAAATCAGTGAAATTTCTTTTGCAATTCATACCATTAAGTTTTGTAGAGTTTATAAAGATATGTTTAGTGTAAAGTTTGCCTACTGTATATGAAATAAGAAGGATATTTTTTGTATTGTATCTTAATTTTGAGTTTAAATAGCGTTAACATATAAAAATGCTCCACTTACATTAAACCAATTGATCTGATTCTTAGAATTTCGTGCGTTTTAATAGCAGCAAATGCTGCCATGTCGGCACCCTGTCAAAAGTACATGAACATTAAATATAAATTTACATCCACATGCCTTACACTAGAAGATTTTTTTTTCAAAGATTTTGTATGTAGACAGAGGATATTGATAAAAGAAATTGCCAACATCACATTATGATGTCAATGTAATCGAAGAATATTGCTCTTTTATATAGACTGTCTCACATTTCCTTTTATCTTTATCAGATATCCCGTACATTACCAACGTCCGAGATGCTGTTTACGCATTTGGCGATGCTATTTTGAATATACATTCAGAAATATGTCAGAATGATACTGGTGTATGTGACAAAATCAAAGAAAAGTTAACAGGAGATTTATTGTTAGAATATCTCGAAAGAATCAAAAGTAAGGGAAAAAATTGAAGATGAAAATTTGAAGTTAAACAGGCTAATTAAAAAAAACTTGACATAAAGGGAGATGGTTTCTAAGAAAAAATAATGCATTTCTATTTCAATAACAGGTCCTTTTAATACTTCATTCCATTTCGTTGATGACGTTGAGGGACCGGCTAGATATAGTATCCTACAGTATTCAAGAAAAGGAGACAACTTTAAATGGACTGAAATAGGAAAATGTATTACATCAACGATTTCATATTACATGTTTTAATTTCAAATCATCTTTTAAAACGAAATTTGGAAACTAGATTTTATGATTTCTGATATTCTTAATTCATATTGACCATAAAAGAAATTATATTCTTTTTTTAATTAGTTGTAGAAGATAAATTGTTGCTAAACATTACTGAGACACAGGCGTCGTGTTCTGTGGAATGCCTACCTGGCTACATTAAAAGAATAACAGAAATCTGTTGTTGGGACTGTACTCCTTGTCCTTCTGGAACCATCACTAATTCATCAGACCCGTACAGCTGTACAGACTGTTCACACGGCTATACACCAAATGCAGAAAGAAATGAATGCATACAAATTCCAATTTCTTATTTTTCATATGAAAATCCATTCTCTATTGCTATTCTCGTATTGAGTGTTTTGGGTTTTGTTTTATGCATTGTTGTTTCCGTTGTATTCGTGAGAAAAAGGAATACACCTTTACTAAAAGCCACTGGTTTTGAAACCAGCATGGTCATGCTTTCTAGTATTCTTATGTCATATATATCACCATTTATTTTACTAAGCTATCCTTCATCTTTCTCTTGCGCAATATCTCGATTATTTATCGGTATGAGTTATACTCTGGCCTATTCTTCCGTCCTTTCTAAGCTAATTGTTTATAAGAGAGCGTTTGATGTGAGATCTGGAATCAAGCTACAAGCAGCGAAGGGACAGCACTTACCAAGACCGTACATGTGTACAATGATGACTGCTTTGCTACTTTCTCTTGCATTATCAGTTGTTCAGCTTCTTGCAATCATTTTCTGGCTAATAATAGATACTCCAGAACATAAGATAACGTATGATCTTACATCAAGTCCTCCATTAGGACACCGTACGTGTAAAGACTCTAACAATTTCAATTATTTCCTTCTTCTTTTCTGGCCTTTTATGCTGATGATTGCATGCCTTATCCTCGCCATCAAAACAAGAAAACTCCCTGAAGGCATGAACGATTCACGTGAAATCATGTACTGCTCTTTCACTTCCTTTATCATCTGGTTAGCGTTTGTACCTCTGTATGCTTTCTCCACAACTATTGCTGCACGAGTCATCTCTCTTTGTGTTTCATTGTTCATTCATGCGACAGTTTTTCTCAGTTGTCTTTTTTTGACAAAGATTTACATTGTGGTCTTTAGACCAGAGAAAAACAACAAAGACCGTGTAATGAGAAGTACAGCTGCCAGTCCTAGCAAGACCAATAACACAATTAGTGCTAATCATCATAGCAATGGTTTACAGACGAAAAGAACAGAACAGGATTCACATTCTTACAATTACACTGTAGAAGAAGTATCACGTAATGGTAAGTGTTGTTGCTGTTTGATATTTAAATATCTAAATTTGAATAACCTTTTACAATATTGGTTAGTTTCTAAGTATCATGATTTTCATATGCTTTTATTATAAATGCATAAAATCAGAGTTATAAGTCATTGTTACTTTCATTTTTTTTAATTACAGATGAGTTAGAAAATGGATATGACGTCATTCTGTCAACAAACAAAATGCGTTCATCAAATTTAAAAAACGAGATATTTGATGAAGTAAATAGGATCGATTATGTTTTTAAGATTAACGAAAACCCACTTTACAACACTGATGCACAGAGTTCTGTATTCTTGAAGTAATGTCACAATATCTCAATTCCAACTATCTTCACCAACTAATTTCATCCATCTTTGATTACATAATGAGTTGGAAGGTGATTCCACCCTGTTATTAGAAATGTACATGGACCGGAAAGCGAATGATTTGGGACTTTAAATAAAATGCAGGATTTAATTGTGATAAGAGTAATATCTTGTGATCACTCTGATGTATAGAACAATGCATATTGAACCTGCTGTACATTTTCAGATAAAAAAAATATTTTATATTGTTATTGCATAGGTTTAATTTCATGTTGAAATTCAATAAGAAAACTGGAATAGATTTGACATTTTTTAGGTGAAGGGATAATTATAAGCTTATGAAAAAAAATCTTAGTTACTATAAGTACTATTGAATTGTTGGAAATTCCTCAATTACCGTAACGTTTCATCTTCAGTTTTTAGTAAACCCTTTATATTTCAATAAAGAATTAGAAGTGTGATGAAATATCGTTTTACAATTGTACAGATAGAGGGATATTTGTAAAGCAGATAAGTAAAACTGTTTTACATTTTAAACTTTAGTCTCCCGACATATTTGTGATGTTGTATTAGAATGATCTTGTATAGGCTACTTACTGTGATATCATGGTTATAAAACGAGGACTTCACGATGTGTGATACTTAAATCATCTTACTGGCGTTTTAATTTTAAAATAACTCAGAGAAGAGTTACTGTTAAATCACTAATGTGCATGGTGGTTCCTTTTTGTTGCTTTCGTGGTATGAAGATACTCAAAAATACAAGTCCTCAACAAAATGTTAATTTCAAACGTATATTAACTCAACACTCTGTCAAACATGAATTCAGATTTTAAAAAAAAATTCTCATATCACCAAAAATTGTACCTCACAGAAATATATGACTCTACATTATTTTTGCTCTGATGTAATTAAAGATTCAACTATCTACGCGTCAATCTTACATGTACTTTAGTCTAGATTGAGTACCCTTTTTAGCTCCATCTACTGATTTTTTCAATAAATGTTTTCTATAACTTTTAAATAAAATCCGATTTTTTGAATTGGATTCATCATTTCTCTTAAATCCATCTCAGTGTTTCCTTCAGAAACCTATTAATAATTCACATGACTGTCTGTAGTATTTTTCGTATCACGTGTATTGTATTGTATTACTTAATAATATACTGTTGTGTTTTAAATATCCGTTTACAAAATGTATCTTCCGTGAACGTGTTATTTGTAAGATATAATTTCATCAGTTTCCGAGTAACAAAACTATTTGATTAAGGTTTTCTATGGTAAATTTCTGTACAATATTTCATAGTTACGTATCAATTTTATTCTACAAAAATATAAGTAAATTTTGCTATATTCTAGATAAAAAGGCTTCCAGTTTTCATGTCATTATTTACGTTCCTTTTGTCTACAGGATATAAGTCCTCAAACAAAATTAATGACAATTTACAAATTTTCGTTATCATACACATAAAATAATTTTAATTGTGCATTTATAATCAGAGATAATATCTCCACATGAAGATGAAAATGACAGGAATCGTGATGCATGTTTCCTTTCATTTCTTGATATTTTGGTTGGTATTCTGGAAGAAAACTGAAGATTCATTCCTACTTATTTCTGGTGATTTTATTTTTGTGGACTCTTTCCAATTCGTTTTCAAAAGGTGGTGGAAGCGACACTAAACTCAATCGAGAAATGGATGAATTCAGAAATAATGAAAAACCAATTTGAATTAAAAAAACAAAACAAATAACAATAGCACATTTTTCACTTATATATATCATACTGTACTTGCATTCTGTCAGAGACAGATTTTAGTGATAAAACTGTCATTAATTTAGTACTATATTAATGAAATAGATTATTCGTAATAAAATATTTATGAGTATGAATAGAAGTCTTTTCACCATATAACTTGAATCTTTAAAAAAAATGTTTGCACTCCTGATATGGTACATCAGTTATTGTTTTACACTTTGAATTTCCTTTCGTGACAATCGATTTTTAAAGTGGATGATTTTTGGCAATGCTATTTTTCTGTTGCACTCCTGACATAGTACAGCATTTTTTTCCAACATCAGATATGGCTACAACTTGGTCAATCCAAATAATTACACTCTACATTTAAAACTCAATATTTTGAATATTATCACAAACGTCTTTATTTTCAACATAAACCATTATTTTTTATTGAACAGGTCTCTAAGAAATATCTAATTTTCAAAATGACAAAAACTATGTTGCTCTTCTGAAATTTTTAGCATCAATTTTGGTCATAACTATTTTAATACTTGAGATATTAATGAGATTTTGGCATGTTTTTAGACAATATCAAAAGACATATGCTGAGACATAGAAATGTATTCCTAATGCCTGTACTTTAGTGAAGGTTGATAAATATGTGTCCAGTCATTTTTTAATTCACCCAATCCTCAACTTGCCTTACTTAGATAGCAATATACCCTTATCATCTGCATACGGTGTGTATCTCTCAGTTGATTCGATACGCAAGAACATGCTCTACGTATGAACAATTTCTGAAACTAGGTAATTAAGCTATTGACAAACAAGTTAATGAAACAAGAATATCAACAGTCTTGTTTAAAGTCATCATTTTGCAAGTTTTGCAAGTCGATACAATAACATGGTCAGCAAATACAATCTATGTTTAAGTCAAATGCTGACTGGCATTTTTTTCTCATACAAACTGTTAGGCCATTATTTACACACTGAATTGTCGACGGATTTTTCCGTTTTTCCCGATCATGATAAGGAGCACACGCGCATGTGACAGGTCGGCAGGGGATGCTTACTCCTCCAAGGCACCTGATACCATCTCTTATGTTTTAGGGGTCCATGTTCTCTTCTCCTGATTTGTATTGTTTGAATGGGGCTATGAGCTTGAATAATGTTCGCGTTATCTCCATATTTCATGAAAGTTAATTTGTTTATTTCTTTATAAATAATCTTAATATTTTGCTTTATTTGCTACATAAGTTAGGGAAATTGATGTTTAAAAGTTGAATTCACCTTTATCTTAAGGCTTTTTGCTTGCTCACCATTAACGTCTTTTTCTTGTACAATAGCAAAATATGAAACAGATGTGGCAAGTTTCTGTGGTATCTTTTATTTCAAAATCACAGGAAAATATAATCGACACATGAATGGAAGTAATATTCTTCTGAATACACAGATCGGTTTGCTAATAACGGGGAGCAATTGGTACACTTGTGACTTCCGGCAGATTGTTGGAAAACCTGGTCTCCAAAAAACTATATAGATATTGTGTATCAGACACTCAAGCATCTTTTTGCTATCAGCTTGAGAGTACATGTACTTCTGTGTATAATCAGAGTTTTTAACAAAAGATATGTTGCAAATAACCATTGACTAGGTAAGTAAATTTATGAGTTCCATTTTTATTGAAAAAGCAGCTGTCAACGATGCCAAAAAGCCTACACGTTAATTGTAAACTGTTTACACTTTCATTCTACTAATTTTAGTTTGTGTAATGTACACACTGAAATGATCTCTTCAATATAGAATGAAACCTTTTTATAAGCCTGGTGGGGATATAGCACAGTCACAAGAAATGATGTCCAAACATGAATGTAAAACACATCTGAGCAAAAAAAATTATTCGATATATCACAGTGATCTTGAAATAAAATACAACATCATCTGCCACATATGTTTCATATTTGGAAGTTAAACTGCTTATAGCTGATAGAGATCAACTAACAACTAATTTTTATGACAAACGAGATGACTTTGGCTTTTCTATCGCCAACTTTTCTTGATTGTATCGTTATTTTCCGCTCTCACTTGTGTTTGATGTTTATTTCTCTCACATTATTCGTCAATCACGAGCTCTGAGTACGACCATTTTTTAAATCTATGCAGAATACCGACAGGAAAGTTGATGTTGCAGGGGCTTCAACAACCTCCTTAAAAGTAAGCGTTTCTATGTCTTCTGTTCCATTCTTGTGTTTCTATGTGCTTCTGTTTGTTTTTCCTCTGCTTGTAAATAAATGTTTTTAAACCAATTAAATTAGACTATTTAACATGAAAGTATATAACAAGTTTAACTGGCATCATGGTGCTGTGAGTAATCTTGATATGTGAGCTTGTGTGAACTTGAGCCTGATTTGAATTATTAAGTTTTGAATATTGTAATAAAGAAATATGAAGCCAAAACTTTGACCTGTACCTGATTTAAATTAAGTTCCATCATTACATGTAACTACTTGGAACTTGTCACACTCTTCATGAATATAATAATTATGGGATCAGCCTTATTTGCAGATCCTTGGGTAGTATTTTCACTCAAAACCCTGTTCCTATTTCAATAGCTTGAGTATCCCTATAATGTTCTAATGACAAATGGAAGAAAATGTCTATTTCTAATCCTATTTCATGAAAAAAATGTCTGTCTCATAAAGAGTACTGGTAAGGAGCTGGGAGGATGATGCTAGGTAGTTAATATGTGTACATGAAAGAAATGCCTTCTTCTTTGTAGAAATAAAAAAAGGATTATTTCTTAGTGTGAACATTTTTATATCTGGATAGACACTGGGTAGACTTCAGAATGAGCTGATCTTTTTAATGTATAGTATTAATTATTCAAGGATGTTGTTTACTTGGGTTTTAGATGACAGAAATGGAATTCTATGAAGTACAATATGTTAAATAAATCAATGTTCTCAATAATATAAATAAAATAACCCAGTTGATTTTTTTTAAATTTGAAGAAAATATGCAGGAACAAAACTAAGATTATAGTGATGCAGAGGAAATTCGGACAAAATTTTAAAATTTCATTTTTTCACAATTTTTCCTATCTTACAATATTTATTCAATAAAGTTAAGATTCTATATGTTTTTAAAAACCATTTTCAAATATTATGAGTGTTAAAACTCAAGTATTATTTCAAATAAAATAATGACACGTAATAAAGAATTTGAAAAAATATGAACAAATTTTCAGACAACATATTCCAAAATTTGATCATCGACCTCATATAATTTAAAACCAGCATAATAAGGGCAACAAAGGTAAAATGAGGCTTTAAATAGTTAAGAGTTTTTATCATTCATTTTGTTGTAAGATTAGATTAAAATGGATAAAAGTTAGAATATTGACAGAGGAAATTTGAACTGAAATACTTAAGATTATGGTTCAAATTTAATTGTTTATTATGTAAGGCAAAAATATTACATTTATATTTCATTATCCAGAGGTATCTTACTTCTAATCCCTAGCGATATATATTTTTAATAAAGAAAATA